ATTGATATATTTAAATAATGACGGATATATTTATATAATGATTTAATGTATATATTTATACGACAAATTATATATTTTTGATTGAAATCTGTGATTTTTGCCAAAAAGTGACAACGTTTGCAGATATGAATAATAAAATTTAAATTTCTCATTTTAATGACCTTTACAAAATAAAACTCCTTCAGGACCTTTCATCGTTTTGTTTTTTGTAAATCCTCAAAATATTTATGGAAAAAAAAAGTTTGATAAGTACCGGTACACCAAAAAGGAAATTTTTTTTTATTCGTCCAGAACTGGTATCTGAAAATAAAACGTGACTGTCGGTCCAACCTGCGAGTCGGACATGAAGGTTTTTCTACTTTTTTATTTTCTAAAACTTTTCTTGTGCACTTTGTTCATTTTGTTGTTTAACTGAAGCGGTTGTCCTCCGAGCTGCTGCGGTCCGGTCTACCCCCCCACGGCGCCGTGTTCTGGGTGGAGCCCACAGGAGTCTCGGCCCCGGAGCGTCCGATCCTTCAGTCTGCATGTGGCTCTGCTGCTTTGTGCCAGATGTTTACTCGTGCACGACACAGGTGCGTTTCTGCTCTTTATGTCCAAATGAAAATAATTTTTCTGGACAAGATGAGAGATGGACCTCTGCCGGGGCAGCCCTCACAACAACTTTTCCAGAAGCTCTCCACAAAAGAGCAAAACATCACGAGTGAGCGAATATAAAAATCAAAAGTATAAAGACAGACGTAAAACGAAGAACATTGTGGACTGCATTTATAATGGGATTGGATGAGGGTCGGTTCCCACTCCGGACCACTAGAGGGCGATAACGTTACCGTGAGGGTCAAACGACTGATCTAATAAAATCGTTTACTGATGACACCCAAAAAAATAAATGAAAAATAAACGTGTGGCTGATTTTCTTGTGGCTCCTATAATCCATCCGTGGATCTGTGGCGACGCTAACGGATGCTAACGGACACTTCCTCACCTGAGACTGCACGTCCAGGCCGAGGCCTCTCTTGTCTGCGAAGATCAGGTTGATGATGCTCTTCAGGATCGTCCCCAGGAACGTGTTGATGCCGAACACCAGAGCGCACAGCTCCTTCGTGAGCGACGAGGCGATCTGAAAACTGGTGGAAACGTCGTGTGAACGAAACGTAACGACTCGAAGCAGCAGAACTTCCTGATACAGCCGAGTTCGGACCCACTGCAACTCACGTGGCGATCGGCACCAGGAACTGGTAGAAGCCTCTGAAGAGGATGTAGGCGATGTAACAGACCCAAATTTGGTCCGTGGTGCTCATGAGGAGCAGCAGGCCCGCCTGGAGCGCCGTGATGATGCCGATTACCAGCTCGGACCAGATGTTCCACCGGATCTTAACGAAGCCCGCCACGAACGTGGTTCCTGCGCCTGCACAGAAATAACGAGTTGAAGCATTTACACGACCATTAGTTGTAAAAACAAGGCCCATAATGATTTAGACAACCTGAAGACACGCTGGCGTATTATTCATGGACCTTTCATCAGAACTTTCCTTTCAAAACACCTGTGATCTTAACGTCAGCAGCCATCTTGTGTTGTGGATTAGTTCTGAGAGGAAGACCCCAACGAGTCTGTGTTGATAACACTGGTGTTCCACAGGGTTGTGTGCTATCACCACTTTTATTCTCTTTATACATAAATGAGTTGCGACCTAACAACAAAGATTTCACATGAACCAAGTCTGCTGATGATATGGTCCTAGTTGCTGGTCTGAAAGACCAACAGCCCCTCCTACTCGCAGCTCATAGACCAGCTCTCTGCCTTCTGGACCTGAATGTCAGTAAAACCAAGGAGCTTCATTCATTGGTCACCAACTAACGTAACCTACAGACCTGTACCGTCAGGTTCTGGAATAAAAGTCAGTCCAGGTTCACAGTGAGCCAACTCATCCACTGCAACCATTATTCAGACTGGTACCATCTGGGAGAAGATGCTGGTTCCTCTGGTGAAGATAAGTGGAACAAAGTCATTAGTTCCCTCTGCGATGAGCAGGCATGACGAACCATCGTCTGCTGAGATGTTTTTAATGTATTGTGTATTTTAAAATGTTTTTATTGGGTTAGCAAAGCTTTTTAAAGTTTTATGGCATTTTTAACTTGTGTTGTTTTGTACGAGCCAGATGTCAAAGATTAATCTCCAGCTCATGAAATGACTTCATGAAGTCTTACTGCGCCCACACGTTCATCATCCGAGAGCCTCGGAGCGGTTGAAAGTCCGGTCCCGACACGTGACGGATCAGTTCTGTCTTCATGTTCGTGTTGGAACGTCCTGTCCGTCACCTGACCTGTCCTTCAAGGTGGCGTCTCGCTGAACTGAGTCAAGCTTTTCAACGGACTCCTTTAGAAAGAAGAGGAAACTCCATGAACGCCGTTCACCAACTAGTCGTAATCTGACGGATTTACCCACGATTCCCGGGGGAGCCAAGTCTGCCCTGTGATTAACACGAGGTCCTCCGGTGTCCCCCGTCTCTGAGGGGTCTGAAGACTGTTTGTAGTTCTGGAGAGGAGTGTTTTTTTCTGGACTGAACAGAGAATAAACCTAAATGTTATTGGTTACCTGATCAGCTGACCAACTCCTGGACATGAGCTACAGATGTCCTCGAGTCCAGCCACTCCTGAACCAGAGACAGAAGCGTCTCACCTGCTCTCTCAGTGGTCCAACGTCCTCTTTTCACATGAAAGACATAAATCCAGGTCCCAGAGTCTGGAGGACGAGTGGAGAGGTCCAGAAGCCACGTTTTTTGAAGTCCAGAGTGAATTTTCCATAGATAGTCTGGGTCCATGTTCTCTGCTGGTGCTGGTCCACTGGGTCTGAGCAGGACTGGGCACTGGCCCACACTGCCAAAGGTACCAGAACCTAGCTGTGAAATATTCTCATCCTCTGAGTTCTGTCAAAAATCTGGTGTACACCGCACCTGGTTATAAGATGAAGCCGAACAACAAGGAGAAGAAGGCTGGAAGCTAAGATCAACACAAACGGGTCCTCCAGGGTGTGCTCTCAACATAATCCTGATCCACCCAGAGCTGAGACTGAGCAGAAGGAAGGAAGGACATCAATGAATCCTACCAGTGGCTAGAGAGGACTGGACTGGAGGACAGCTCAGAGACACTAATCATGGCAGAACAAGACCAGAACCTCAAGAGCAACAGAGGCCGGGGTCTACCTTATTAGACAAGATCCAAGATGGACGCTGGGCAAAGACACCCCTGAGACAGTCCAACACATCATGGCAGGGTGTAATAATGTACAGGAACATGTGTGCTGAGTAAATGTACTGGAGGTAATTGGTACATGGGCTGTACTTACATATCTCCTTTCTATCTTATTTCAAGATACTCAAAGCTCTTTACAACAATCTGTGCCTCATGTACCCGTTCATACAGCTCTATACTAGATCTCTACAAAGATAATTGAACAAATCATCCTAAAGTGACTAATCAGAGCTTTATCACATTCATACACTGATGGGACACACATCTGAGGCTATGAGGGGTTCAGCGTCTTGCCCAGGGACACTTCAGCATGTGACTGCTGGTGGATTCGAACCCCCAACTCTCGCATTGGAGGATGACTGCTCTAACCACTCAGCCACAGCCGCCCCGCAGTCAAAGAGGTCCCACAGTCAAAGTGGGAGACGCCACCAGGTGGAGAATGGAAGGCTAAGGTACTGTGGGACTAACAAGTGATGGCTACCCAACCAGACATCGTGGTCCCAATGCCAAGAGACCGTAACATCAGGAAGAAGCTGGAGAAACACCGAGAGCTGAAAGAGGAACTACAGAAGCTGCGGAGAGTCAAAGCTCTCAATCCCAAGTCCAATCCAAAGTCCCAATGGCGTCGTTGGAGCACTCGGTGCTGTGACCCCCACACTGGACGAATACGTCCAACAGATCCCAGGAACAACCCGAGAGATCTCTGTCCAGAAGAGAGCAGTCCTAGAAACAGCTGAGATGCTGAACAGAACCCAGACCTCTGGTGGAGGACCCGAGTCTGAAGTGAAGTGGAATCGCCCAAGAGGAAGAGTAGGTCGAGTGTCATCCGTAGTGATCCGTCACCGATCGCAGGGGTCACATCCGGAGACCCCCACGTTAGTAGCTGCGTTGCATTTATTTATTATTTATATTTTTTTATTTCAGACATATTACGCTGAAATTTGGTGGTGGTAGCTCAGAGCAATGTCCAATAATTAATTAATTCAAATGAAAAATCCAAGATGGCCACCAAAGCTACATTTAAATGAATTTAACTCAGCCATTTTTACACATGCAGAGCTGAAATCTGATGAGACTGCAGAGGACGTTCCCCATCACAAACTGAATCCAAATCACAAATCCAAGATGGCCGCCATAGCTTAAAACAAAAAATGACAATAACTCCTTGATATTTTTTCCTCACTGAGCTGATATTTGGTGCATTGGTAGAGAGTGAACCCAACACACAGTCCGGTCAAATCCAGATGTTAAAATGGCACCGCGATATAACGAGGGACGACTATACGGCGGTGGCCATCTTGGATATCGACGTGGCAACCCATTTTTCAACAGTGACTTTTCTTACGTGGAGATGAAGCGACACTTTAAGACGGAACGTTTGATTGTTGGAGTCTTTAAGGTTCGGTCTCCAATCTTAATCCAAACGTTTTAGATGCATCTGTCCAAGATGTTTAATTTGGATTTCCTGAAGTTTCATTTATAAAATGCTGGTGTTCATCGTGTAATATCGAGGGCCGTGTTTGGCCCCTGGATCACGTGTTGTCCGTGTGTTACACAGATTGTGTCTCGACTCACCAACAGCTGATTAAAAACTGTGAAACTAAACCGGATCAATGTCTTACTTAGTAACGTGGCCGCCGCCTCCACGGCCCCGTTGTACACCTTCTTGTCGTTGGCGATCTTGTTCCAGAGGATGTGGACGTAGAACAGGACCAGGTAGTAGCCGGTGGAGTTGAAGATCCACCACATGGACCAGAGTCTCAGGCTGGGACTCCTCACCAGGTTTTTCACCTCCAGCAGCATCTGCACAAAAACAGAATCCTTCCAGCGCGCCGCCGACCTCGCTCCTTTCTCCGGCGGGTTGAGTTTGTCCGCCTCGGACCGAGCCACGGCCATCAGCTCCTTCTGCTCCTGGTTCTGGGCCCGGTTGAAAAACAAGGAGCGTTTGGGCCAGGGCAGACACAGCGCCAGCAGCAAGCCGAAGCTCGCGAAGCCCAAAGTAACGGCGTCAAGGACGTAGTAGGTGACTTTTTCAGAAGACACGCACAGCTGGCCCAGAACGGAGCTGGTGAAGACCCCCAGCAGAACCGAGCAGCGCGAATAGCCCGCCACGCGCTGGTACAGAACCGGGCTGACCAGGGAGAAGATGTAGGAGGAGTAGGCCACGCGGCAGGCCATGGTGATCCCGTAGAAGAACTCCATGAGCTGCATCTGAAGCAACGAGGAACCCAGCAGCATCAGGATCCAGATGGCCACGTGACACACGCTCTGGACGATCAGAACCGGCTTGTAGCGCAGGAGGTCCGTGAGCAGGAAGGTCGGCACCAGCACAGCCATGTACGAGTACGTCAGCACCGGCGTGATCTCATTGGTCACCTGAAAACATCAGAGGAGCAGATTAAATTCTCATTTTCAACTCAGTGAGGACAAAGTCCAGATGTTTCTCCAGATTCAGAAAGAACCACCGTTCATTTACCAGGACAAAGTCCGACGGCTCGTTTTACAAGAATCGCTCAAAACCCACAAAACTTTACAACCACTAAACTTTACAACCATTAAACTTTACAACCATTAAACTTTACAA